ACCAGCCAACCCTTTCGCCTAGCTAACGTTTGGGCGTACTGAGTCCACAAACAAACTGGCGATTCATAGGCGGGCTAATTTACGTGCTGTGTAGGCTGCGGACTATATCTGCCTGCCTGCCTACTCGCTGGTAAACTACCAACTTACCTGGTTTAAGAGTTTGTGAGGTAGCTGTGGATTGGCCCAGCATTATAGGTGTAGTATAAAGTTGTACCATTGTGTAAGACAATGCAATGCTATTGCGGTATCCTCTCTACATTTCGAGGCATTAAGGCAAGGTTTGTAATTACATGTAATTGAGGTCCAGTAACGTTCCGAGCTCTAAACCATCGATTCCAACGAAACCATCGGTGTAAGGTTATATACAGCAGCAGTTCTAGACGGAATAAAGCACCTCATTTTCTTGGGTTTATATTCTGAAATCCCAATCCGCTCTGCAGCACCGTATTTAGCAAAAAAATCAACTTGAAAACGAAGCACAATCTCCCACGAGGCAAAACTTACCGAAACTGGACCAAGAAAACTGCAAAAAAGAAGAATCCAGATGCTCCCATACGGATTTGAACCGTAGACCTCGACATTACTAGTGTCGCGCTCTACCAACTGAGCTATAGGAGCTTGTTTACTGAGGCTCTGATTGGAGATTATAACCGCAATCGCGATTCCTGCTTGAATGATGATGGAGGGTTGGAAGTTGTGTGTTACAGCATCGCCGAGCGCAACACATCAACACATCAACACATCCAACATGCCACGTTTTGGGTTGCCTGCGAGCCGGAATACAAGGCTGTCATCCCGCGCCGCTTTATAATACTCCGCCAGTCAATTCAATCATCCCATCTTCGCCCTCACGACATCGCCATCTCCATCTCCATCATCCCCATCTCCGCTTCAAACAATATCCTCTTTCATCTAGCTGCGACTCCCGTTCATCCTATGACCCGGCACTAGACCGATATATCAATCCGCTGAATCACCAATTCGTCGCCAAACCCCCACTATGGCCGCCGTACCTATCGAAGCCTGGTTCTACGAGGTCCCAGTGTGCACCCGCATCTGGGCCTCAGCAGCTGTCGTCACAGCTCTAGCCTGCCAATGCCACCTCGTCTCCCCCTTCCAACTCTTCTTCTCCCTCCCTGCCGTATTCTCCAAACGCCAGTACTGGCGATTAGTCACCACCTTCCTCTACTTCGGACCGTTAAGCTTGGACTTCGTATTCCACATGTTCTTTTTAGCGCGGTACAGTCGGATGCTGGAGGAGAGTTATTTTAGAGGGAAAACGGCGGACTTTGCGTGGTTGATATTCTACAGTGCTACTTGTTTGCTGGTGAGCTGTTGTTCTACTTGATTACAGGGGGGTAGAGGATGTGAAAGCTAACTTGAAGGATAGTTCTGCTCCGCAACGTTCGTTCAGATGCCATTCCTTGGCTCTCCGCTCGCGTTTTCAATCGTATACATATGGGCACGAAGGAACCCGACTGTCCGACTCAGCTTCTTAGGCCTATTTGTGTTCAATGCGCCGTACTTGCCCTTCGTTTTGCTCGGATTCAGTCTGTTGCTTAACGGGAGCATGCCTAAGGATGATGCTCTAGGAATTGTGATTGGCCATAGTACGTATATATCGGGTGTGAAAGCTGTGGAAAGTTTGATGGATGCTAATTGATGTGATACAGTCTACTTCTTCTTTATGGACATCTACCCCAGAGTCAGGAATGGATCGCGACCATTGGATCCGCCAGAGTTTTGGAGGAGGTTGTTTGAGCCACGTACTGAGAATCCGGGACCACAGATCCAGGAGCACCCAAGGCCTCAGGTTGTGCAGTAGACCATCTATCTGGCCTTTCTCATTAAAAGCTTTCTTCTCAGTGGGCGCCTCTTTTGGAGGCTACCGCGTTCGCTTGATCCTTCTGCGACTAGAGACGGGGTTAGAAGGCATTGTAGCCGTCCTGTTGTGGCAGTATTTTTTCCTTTGGTGTTTGTTTTCTTCAGCGTTATCATTTACCGGTGTTCAATGGCTGTTTTTGCTATTCTCTTCTCCGTTTGTAAGATACTATTATTTGAATCGGATGCCGTACTTAAGAGAATGTTCTCTATCCTTGAATGAAAGGTCTGGTTAATAGGCTACTACAGTCAAATGCAATGAAATGCATGAATTCCAACTCTATAGATACACACTCCAAGCGCCATGCATGCTAAAGAACCTAACATCCTATCCCATGCCATGTGTATAGTCTTACACTACTCCTCGTTAGCTTCGAAGAAGGAATCACTGTCATCATCATCGTCATCGTCATCGTCATCATCTTCCTTTTTCTCAAGATACTCTCTCTTCGCGAGCACCTCTTTAAACCGCGGCAATAGCAATTCCACCGTTCTCTTCACATCCGGCATCTCGACAATCTCCTTCACACCACCATCCCCATTCATCATCTCCCCAATACCAACGACCACCTTCGCTCCCTTCCTCTCACCGTTCAAATCTACCCCGCTCGCAGCCCTAACACTCGTATCCTTCCCGCACCTGGCCTTCCCACCCGTAGCCTCAGCCGGCGTAATCTCCGTCGAATCCAGCAATTCCTGCCATTTGAACAAAAAGTTCCCAGGACCCTTCTTCAGCGGCTTCTTCGGTTCTCCATCGTTCAAAGAAACAATCGACGCCATTCTTCGCTTTGTCTTTTGGTTCAGCTTTTGAAGGTACTCTTCATACTCATCCATCTGCTGCAGGACAACTTTTCTATCTTCTTCGTCGAGTTCATCGACGAGTTTGTTCAAAGTAGCTGTGAACCCTCCGGCGCCTTCCCCTGTAACTCCCTCAGGACGTCTAAACTGCTTCGCAGCGTACTTTGCATACTCCAACCATAACTCCTTCGCCGTATCTCCCTTTTTACAAAACTGGTGAAGGAAAACGTGGCAACTCTTCTGGTGTCGTTCGAACAGTCGTACAAATTCTTCGACACCAGGTGGTTTTTTGGGCCCATTTTCATCGCTACCTTCGTTTGACGGGATTTTAGCAGTTTTGATCATATCGTTTACAAAGCGTTCAAAGTCTGCGATTGTACCGCTTAAATCAACGGCATTGTGAATATTTCGTAGGATTGGGTCGTAAATTGAGACGATATCGCGGATGGTTGCGGTTAGTGCGTCTGGGTTTGATTTACACAAAACGAGGATTAATTGTTCTCGGTCACGGATTGATAGTTGAATTGAAAGGTACTCGAGAAGGAGCTTATGCTGTTCTGTCGTGAGTTCTGTAGATGGCGATGAAGGGGCGATTGAGATGATCGCATGGATGATAGAGGTGGATGAGGCTTTGCTGATTACTCGGTAGTCTTCTTGTTCACTGCGGGGAAGTTTTGTGTAGGAAGTGATGGCGGCGAGGTGATTTTTTGAAGGGCAATCTTTGGATTTCTCGAGTTTGGAGACCCGGGATTCGAGTTCTTTGATTTCCCAGGAGAGGACGGTATATATTATGCTGATGGAGCGTTAGAATTGAGCTTATCTTTGGAAGAAGAATTGAACATACGTCTGGAGGAGATTCATGCCCTCGTCTGCCCCGGTGCTCCACCCGATCCAATTCGTGAGAGTTCCAATGCTCACCTTCGCCAGCACCAGCCGGGTCATCCCACTGATCATAGTCGCAGCATTTCCAACTCTTAACGTTTGTCGAACGATCCGATAGGGAATCAACTTATTCGTCCTCTCCACCAACGACAGTAGTGTCTGTCCCTTCGGCGATGTAACTAACACATAATGTGCCAAAGATGCTAAGCTTCCAACCACCAAGAACCACCAATTAGCTTGAATATTCCTTCTTTTCGGAGACGGTTTTAAAACATACTTGACGACAATATGCTGATGCGCTGCAATAACCATATCGCTGTGGGCCTGCAAATCGTCACTCTGCGCCGCCTTTTCAAACAATTTGTCCAACAAGTCACCGTACACAACCTGTCTCATGAACTCCCTCCACGCATCCACTAGATCCTCCTGGTGACGTACATCGTATACTCGCTCTGGATCGGGTTTTATCTCTCGGCCGGGCATGCCACCTAGGATACCTCGGGCAGGGTACTCTATCAAAGCGGACACAGCGGTAGCTAGGGTCTTACGAATACCCATAGACCCTTTATCGTAGGATTCCGAGAGATTGGCTTTAGCGAGATCATCGATGAGAGGTTGGACGCGTTTGGACCAGAAATCTTGTGAAATGTCGCGAAGACCGGGGATAGGGACTATGAAGGTCGAGAAGAGGAGTTGGAGGAGGGGGGATTTAGAGGTGACTTTTTCGGCAGCGTCTTTTGAACCGTCAGTACCGGCATTATTATGATTATGATTATTATTACTATTAGTGCTACTAGTAGCTGGATCGGGTTGGAAAGGTGGACCGTATGAATTGATTATGCCCGGAGTCTTGAACAGCTCGATTTCAGCGGTGTAGGTTTCGCGGTGGGTGAGGATGTCAAGGAGGGCGTGGGATTGAGCGGGTGAAAGAGCTGTAGGAGACATCGTGATGTCTATTATGGGGAGGGGATTGGAGGAGGAGGAGAAGAGGAGGAGTCATGATGAAGAGGAAAGAAGGAGAAGAAGGAGAAGTGGCGATGGGATGGGATGGGATAGCTCGAAGGAGGGAGGGATTACGCCGGGAAGGACTTTCCATTCCCACCAACGTCATCTGCAACACAGGCCAGCTCTCCAGACATCATCATTGCATCGCATCGACAGCTCTCAGTAAGTCCATTCTTCTCTCTATTAATTATTGCTTCGACTCCAATTGCTATTATATTGTATAGATTGTATTTAAGCAGTTCGTACGGACAGCCTGACAAAAAGTGTAGACATCACCCGAAACCACGATGTTCCAAGCGGGAATGGATCCCTCGAGCTCGAAGCTTAGCCATGGCCATGCCACTTGCAGCCACGTGCAGAAGAACCACCATGCAGGCCAAAAAGCCATGCCGAATCCATCTTCCTCGGGGTCAAAAAAGATAATAATCTTGCAAGGGCCACAGTCGGATTTGAACCGACATCTCTCCTAAAAGCTAGTAAATTTTATGGAATATGCTAGTCATTGCACTATGCGGCCTTTTTAGCAACAGTAGCTTCTCAATCGCAATGACAGTTATCTACCGAACATCGTCGTCATCATACGGCATTGTTTAGGCATGCAGCTGGGGTAGACTCGACTAGGACGGATGAGACCTACCGCCATCTCGGTCAGCTTAAGCTCCGGGAGCCTTACCAGGTTTCTGTTCCCGCCATAGCATCGACCTTGATTGGCCCGAGCTTGTGCCTCGGCTCGTCCGTTTTTGTCAAATCCATGCAATATCTGCTGTCGCCGAAACCAATTATTCTTATAAGGCTTTAGGGACAGTCTCCTTCGTCTTTCGTACTACTACTACTGTCAGTATCTTATCTCTCATTTTAGTATGCAAATAATCCTAATCTCTTAATCACCATGTTTGCCGCCTCTCAAACCTATTATCACCACCCTTCCCCCATTCTCCTCAAATCCAAAGATTCCGATATTTCCGAGTCTCTGGTATCAGTTTGTAAATCTGCCATCCCACCGTATTACCCCCACCCCCTCCTTCGCAACGGACATCTCCAAACCTGTGCCATTTTATTCGCATCCGACCATGTCCCTATACACTACAAACGACATGTATTAAAATCAGAAACCCCAAACGATCCCGGAACATTCAGCGTCGACGTCGTAATCCCCGCGCCTGAAGAACCAGAAGATACAAAATCAACTCCTCAATTATCGGAAAGTGATCCGGATTACTTTCCTCCACGTACAACGTTCTTTACAGAGCAAGAATTCGAAGAATGGAAGTCAGATGATGAAACGAAGCCGTTGGTGATAGCGCTTCACGGGCTTAGCGGTGGATCGCATGAGACGTATGTGCGACTGACACTTGAGCCGCTGGTTAGACCCGTAAAGGATGGAGGACTGGGATATGATGCAATGGTTGTGAATGCGAGGGGATGCGGTTGGACAAAGCTTACGGGTATGGCCTTTATGGAATCAATTAATATCCTACATAAATCCTAGCTAACATTGAATACAGACAACAAGATGTTTAACGCAATGTTCACCAGAGACATCAAGCATGTTGTCAACCTCATGCGCCGAAAGTTTCCAAAGCGCCCGCTCATGGCAGTTGGATTCTCCCTCGGTGCAAATATCCTCGCAAGTCCGTATCCCAAACATCACAAATACCGTTTCTTGACTAACCATATACCCCGAAAGACTACCTCGGGGAGGCCTCCACTTCCTCCCCACTCCACGCCGCCGTCCTCCTCTCTTCCCCACACAACATGGATGCCTGCGCCAAAATCATGTTCATGACCTTTACCGGCCGCCTATACTCCAAATTCATGGCTGGAAACCTCAAGAAGCTATTCGAAAGAAACTACGAAATGCTGTCCACAAATCCTGCAATCAACGTCGAAGGCGCTCGTAATGCAACTTATCTCTACGACTGGGACACCGCGGTTACAGCACCAGTATACGGCTTCAGAACCGGAGGAGAATATTACCGTGCATCGAGCTCGGTGGATAAATTGATTGACGTGAAGGTGCCGACATTGATTATAAATGCCGAGGAAGATCCGATTTCGCTCCAAAACGCGTTTCCCAGGCAGGAGGCTGAAGCGAATCCGTATTTGTGCTTTGTGACGACGGGGTATGGTGGACATCTTGGATGGTTTGAGTGGGGCATGCAGAGGTGGTTTCCAAAGCCGATTATGGGGTTTTTGAAGAGGATGGCGGAGTTGGATGTTGTAGAGAAGGGAGAGGAGTTCGTAGAGGTTGATAGAGCGTAGATGGGCGTAGATTTGGCTTTTGCATATATTTTGTATAAACGGTATAAATGGAGTTTTTATGGGCGCGCTTTTGTATATAGGTGGTAAACTCGGCTTTCGATGAAACAATGTGCTCGGCTTTGCTGTTAAATTTCCGACTCGAAAAACTCCGATAAACGCCAGTCGCTTTTTTAAAAATTCGAATTGTTCAAGCAAACGATACGCTCTTCCTCTTCCCAGAGGACTTTGTCGGCTTCTCATCAACGTCATCGTCGTCCTTCGCCGGATTTCCACCCTTCCGCTTTCTCTTCTTTTTCAACGAGTCCTTTACATCCTCCTATCGCACAAATAAATTGTTAGTACCTGTCAATTGGTCATTAATCCTTCATATTATATAGAAACTTACCAACTTCGCTTCCTTCTCCTTCTCTCTCCTCTCCTGCTCTTTCCGCTTCTGCTCTCTTATAACCTCTAGTCGTCTATTCTTCTCCACCTTGCCTTGAATAACTCCGTCCACGTTCGTATTCACCAATTCTAGAATATCCATCATGGTCTCCTTATCTTCAACGAATACCTTCCCCTTCTTCTTCCCACGAGGTTTTGTGACACCGGCGGGGATAATGCCATTGAGGGTTGGGAGTTTAAGTTGGGCATCTGTGTAGCGGTCTTTTACTGGTTTCTTATGAGGTTTACGGATTCGCGAGGAGGACTTTGTAGATGATGCTGGCGTAGCGGCGGTGGAGGTTGATGTAGATTTCTTGTGACGTTTTGAAGAGGATAGTTTTCCGGGTGTGAAGGGTTTTGGATCCGTTGTTGATGATGATGAGGAGTTAAGTTTTCGCTTTTTGGAGGATGAGAGGGAGTTCTTTGATGCCGAAGATGCACGGGGACGTTTTACAGGCGCCATTTTTTGTGGTGGGTGAGGATATGATTGCGACGGTGTGGATTGATGGATGGCTACGAGGTTGAAGATTTAGTTTGGTCGCAGAAAGAACAAAGTTTTTTTGGAGGGAAGTTTTGGCAGAGTCCTGGCAAGTTTTGCCGAGTGAGGAATATGCAACAATTCCAACACACTTCTAGGGTCGACCAGTTCCTAAGTGCTCTTGGGGTACAGCGTCGAGACGACTCTTAATAATTGAAAGAGAATAACCAAAATATAATTTTTGAGTTCCCCTTGAGGAATATTCCGCGCATGTATGTTAAATCATTTAGGTTTGTAGGTTATAAGGCTCTCAGCATCATCATTTAGTATTGCGAATGCCATTCGCTTCTCTACCATTTCATGAAATACTACTCTGAATCTGATTCGAACCTATGCGACAAGTCCTTTCTTAGAATCTCCTCTCTTTCTTTGGTAATACGCTTTTGATATTTTTTCGCCTTGGCTGCTGAGAAAATCGTCCCGGTCACATATTTCATGATCATTTGGAATATATCTTCGGGGAGCTTGCCGAGTCGGGTTTGGCGGAGCATGAATTCGTAGTGTCCCGGTTGCTGTGGGGGGATAGTTCGTGTTGAGGGGGTCTGATGTTGGAAACAGCATATTATAATTAGTAAACATCCTAGGGTTTGGGGCTGGGGCGTAAGGGAGACGTTTAGACAAGTGCGAAGGGCCTAACCCTAGGCTGGCCACTCCGTGGAGACTGGCCTATGAGACTAGCTCCGGAGCTCTAGATAAAAAGAAATAAGCGTTTGGAGAAAGGGTCTTACGGGGAACGGCGAGAATGGATCGCAGAGATGGAAAACTAGCATCTTGGCCGACCCGGGCTTGGTTTTGTCGCGTAGATCTATATCGGAGAACGAATATTGTAGTAAGTTTGGGAAAACAATTGCACGGTTTTCCTGTGCAAAGTTTCGTAGAGAGATAAAAGTTAGCCAAGTATCCTTAGCCTCAAATAAACTTGCGCCCCTTAGTCTAGCACTTTTGTATCTTTGGCTTATGACATACTCGTGTCCTAGTGGGCCCGATCCGCTGTATACCATTCCAATCCCTCTCTTCACTGTATAAAACTTCCTCAGGATGGAAACATTGATGCTGGAAATGTATGGACCAGTCTGAAACATTGTCATTTGCGTAGTTATAAATCGCAGTAGCGACTATTTGGTCGTTCTTTATGTTCCAAGTTCATATTTTGTTAGTAGATAGTACAATTGTATGGTTAATTCCGAACGGTCAGATTCAAGACTCACCACCATGCCTGCCGTATGCCAGTCGCTGCCTGGATAGTTGGGGCTACCAGGGATCAAGTCTATTTGTATCATCCTGACTATAACCTTTAGAGTTTTCCCCTCTAAACTCCTCGCCGGCGAAATCATCGGAGGTTTCCATCGCCAAGCTGGCCAATCTGTTCTTTCCTTACCGAGTGTCCCACAGTCTATATCTGCCAGGACGTGGTTAAACATTGGCACAAGTCTGGTGAATAACTTCTCCAGAATTGGGTTGAAAATTATGTCTTGTCCCGGCAATGTTAGATTATTGATGTATGACACGATTTTTGTTTCGCCGTTCGCAGCAATTTTGAATTCGGAAGGGAGCCAGGCAAAGTTACGATCTAACCCTTTTTTCGCGTGGTATTTCCATTCCATTAACGTTACTTTAACGAACTCACCCTCCTCCAAGCAAGCTGTTTCATTGTAGGAAATGGGATACTTGGAGGGATCAAGGAGGTCTCTAAGACGGGGTTCACACTCTGCGTCCTCTCCGTCCTCATCAGCATCATCCTCGTTATCGTAATCACTACTGTTGTCCTTGTTCTCGTTCTCGTAATCGTCGTTATCGTCGTCCTTATTATCGTCCCTCCCCCCGTCATGACCTCTTCCTAGTTTTTCCGGCTCCAATTCTTCTTCCTGTTCTTCTTCTGTATTGAGAATATCTCCCAACTTTGTCACAGCTGCCTTTGGGTCAATGCCGCCACTATAAGATGTTCTTGAGGGACAAGAGAGAAGGCCCCGAAGGGTATGCTTAGTCTCTTAGAGTGCTGAACCCACCTTCAACCAGATCCCTTCTCAATTCCTCGCTGAGCACTCCATCCATCCTCCAAACTCCGTCGTGGTCTGGTTCCATCAAAAAACCCCGCTTTCTTATTTCTCGTACGTACTTCTTGTAAAACGGAAGCTCGTCCAAGATCAGCGTGATATCTTCCCGAGTACAAGTGAAGTTCCATTTAGCGTCGTCTGTGTCGATGTGCTGCTTTATTTGTTTAAGCAGCCACAGTTTAAAGCTTTCGCGGTCCGTCGCTCGTTCGACCCATCCTGGCTCATCACGAAATTGGACCG